ATATAAAAGCCACGATGTCTATCGGATAACTTGAACAACTTACCAAATGGATGCCATTTCTACTGGCACTAACCACATGTTCCTTCAACATTCCTACCTCTGCATTCCCACATCATAGAGACTCTAATCTAAACATTTAGAATTAGAATTTAGTGATCACTGGTCATTGTCAACACACCACAGCACACAGTGCGCAACAACGAAATGTGTCCTCTGCATTTAACCCATATGTGACATATACCATATGTGACATCACATACCCGTCTATTTCAAACACACCAACACATCGAGACAGAGACTCGTCCACCCCAAAAATCGCATACCAAAAGCAACATAGTGTATGCCATGCAGTGAAGTGTGCCCTGAACTTTACATTGGCGAGACCAAACGACTGTTACATAGGAGGATGGCCCAGCAGAGAAGGAGCAACACTTCAGGGCCGGAATCAGCTGTGTACCTCCATTTGAAAGGTAAAGGACACTCTTTTGAGGACATTAACGTCCAGATACTGGACAGAGAAGACTAGTGGTTCGAGAGAGGGGTGAGGGAAGCCTTGCATGTGCAAATCCACAAACCCTCACTCAGCAGAGGTGGAGGTCTTAGGCACAACCTGTCTCCAATTTACCTTGCTGCCCTCTCATCCTTTCCCAGGAAAATCAGACCCAATTCACACCTCCATCAGGTGGACCACTCTATGGGGGTAGGAGGGACTGCTAAGGTGTGACAGTTACATCTACCCACAACCCCCCCCCCTTTTCTTTCACTCAATGAGCCTACTCAGGGCAGGTGTGAAGAGAAACTACCAGGGAGGATAAATCTGTGGACACTTACAACCTTCTTGTGTCATGACCTGCCTGTATGATCCTCTTGTGTGCCACACCCCCTTATTAACCATGTGCAACCCCGATTGTGACCAGCTGTTTTCTGTCAATTTGATTCTTCTGGTGTATTTAAGTCCACATCAGAGTTTGTTACCCCAGGTCTGTCATTGATGTTGTTTACCGTGTGTATGTGTTTTTGCTTTAATAAACCCTGTTTCTTGGATTTCTGTGTACCTGATTCCCTGCTCACAACACTCAGACTGAAGAAGCTGCTTGAATGGACAGTGTAACATTTCTACCTTCCAAGAGAGAAGTCCAGTTGCCATGACTCAACCACCAGAAAATTTCACCTGGATGACTGAGAATCTTCGCAGACATACCTCACTCATGGTACCTCAGCGGTGCCTTGCTGGTCGCAGATTCGAACCTGCAATTTTTCAATTACAAGTGCGCTTCTCTAACCATCAAGCCACCAATACCCCTGCAAATAATAATTTACAATATTATATTTGTAGTGCTTCAGATTTTTATATTAGATGAGACTGAAAATTGAGAAATTTCAATAGGCGCAAGTAATAAATGAATATATCAAGACAATGTCAGCATTTACACATAAACTTATGACATATCTGTGCAGCCCAGAATGTCCTGAAAACAATAAGATACAGCACATGTGGTTAATTCATGTAGATACAATGTAATAAGTCTAAAATCAAAAGGATAGAAAAAAGCTCAAAAATGGATATGGTTGAAAGGGTTAATGTAATAAGAGATTACTGCATTATTGGTTAAGGCATTTTATTACTTTATCTTATTTATTTATTACATTATTGGGTTCTACACGCGCATTTGCCCAGAATGTTGCATACTGTATACACCTCCTCCTGAGTTTCCATAAATATCAACAGCCATGGAGCAGGTATAGGAGGCCAAAGAAGTTCTGGACCCACCTTGGAGCCACTCGCTCTCTTTCCGCTGTCGGGAGCCAGAACACATCACCCCAAACTGCCCCACTCCATCACCACATCTTAACCTCAAACAGTAGCCGGGAAACACTGGGTGGGTGGCACCTCCCACAACACACACCAGTCCAACTCCTGCATCTGCAGACAGAGTGGCCTGGCTGGGCAAGAAGGGACGCCCTGCTGATCCCTGGTAGACATGGGGTCCACCATCGCCCTGATCCACCTATGGGTGCTGTCAGGCAACGACATGGCCGTGTGGACTGGCTGGGAGGCAACAAACATCCGCTTGATGATAGCCATGCTCATGGCTATGAAAGGAAAAAGGCTGCTGCAAGTCATGCTGGCTTAACACATAGTGGTGTAAGAGGTCTGGCTATCGTTTATCCCTGATCCCTCTGCATCTCTGGACTAGACTTGCTAGTTTACCTGGGAGCCGCCATCAACGTGTCAGGGACAGATCTCCGCCACAGGGCAGAAATGGCAGCCCTTCAGTGTGACAGTGGCAGCCAGTGGCAGCCAGTGCCAGCAGAGGAGGACGAGAGGCAGAGAGATGTCTGCGCAGTGAGGGAAGAGGGCGACCCACAGCTCCTGCGGGACAGCTTCCACCAGCGACACAGCCACAACCCCAGCTGGGACTGCCAGGAACAGCAGGACTATGGCAGGGAAGTCTCCCATGACAGTCAAGCTGTCCAGGAACTGTGGCAGCACAGCAGTCAGGACCTGTGTATAATTACATGTCACAGTACCTGTGTATAATTACATGTCACAGTGCTCAGAGCAGCAGGACAAGTGCTATGAAGATGTCTGATGGAGAGATAAGATTGCTAAAGGATTCCATGCATGGTGTGTGGTGTAAGAGCTAATGCTTATTAGCATGATCTGCTCATTGCTGTGCTGCGGTTTTCACACCTTCAGCTCTGCTAAGCCACACTTATATGGCAGAGGACCAGACCAGACTGCAGTGGAAAATTCACAGCTGGACTCCATGTCACACAAATGTTCACACAAAGCACCGTAAATGAGATGTCCAAAGATACACTTACATTGAGGGCGGCCAAGTTTTCTCGGTTCCTGTTTCTGGCCCGTACCATCTCTAAAAAGAAAAACAATGGCAATTTAGTGAAAACTGACTCACTTGAGTTTGTTATATATAGCAGTCAGAGGTTTTCAATAAAGTTTCGAAAGCGGCCATCCTCACCGGATCTTTTCCTCAGTATCATGGTAACCAAGACAACAGTGAGCAACAGCAGCACTCCGACGATCCCCACAGA